TAAAAAACACACGTCGAACCAAGTAAGCTTGAAATGTTGTCATATAATTCTATTTTCGTAAAAAATGATTGATTATGTACGCCAAAGTGATTAATTTCGTCGATTTTTACGTTTTCTCGATTTTGGTCCTATTGTCAATTCTCGTCAATTTTTACCTATGTGTGTTCGTTTTATTGATTTTAGCCTATTTTTGCTTAAAGTCGCCAATTTACGATTTCGTTATCGATTTCGACCAAAGTTCGTGGCTTTCATTTTTCATTATCGATTTTAACTAAAGAGTTGATTTGTTTTTCATTCGTTGATTTTAGCCAAAGTCTGTAGCTTTTGTTTTTCGTTGTCGATCTTTGCCAAAGTCTGTGGCTTTTGTTTTGCGTTGTCGATTTTAGCCTACTTTTGCCTAGAGCCATCGATTTTTTATTTCATCCCCGAATTTAGCCTATTTTTGTCAAAGTTGTCAATTTTCACCTATTTTTGCCCAAGTTACTGATTTTTGCTCATTTTTTCCAAAATTGTCGATTTTTGCCTCTTTTTGCCGAGGTTGTCGATTTTTCGTTCGTTTTTGCTTAAGTTGTCGACTTTTGCCCATTTTTGCCTATGTAGTCGATTTTAGCCTATTTTTGCCCATGATTTCCTAAGTTTGCTTATTTACGCCCATGGTTGCCTATTTAGCGTAAGTTTGCCTATTTTTGCCTATGATTGCCTATTTTGCCTATTTGTTGATTTTTGCCTAATTGCCTATTTGCCTCTTTACCGATTTTGTCAATTTGCATATTTGTCGATTTTTGTCTATTTGCCAATTTGCCTATTTTTATCCGTGTTGCCTATTCGTCATTTTGTCCGGCTTGTTTGTTTGCTTATTTGCCCATTTTAAGTTTTTTTCTCATGCATGTCGTTTGAGTCCCACTAGCGACATATCCTCATGTTTATCATTTTTAGACATTCATTACGGAGTGAGGACAATGTCTTCGACTACCAAGTCCCGAATCACTCGACAAAAGAGGCACTTTCATTAGAAGTCAAATTAAGGTTGTATGCGATGCGACTTACCTTAGTCAAGACGAGGTAGGGTGACTTTTGTTCCCTACACATAATAAACCCCTTACCCGAAACTCCGAATAGACCGATCATGAGGTTTCCTAGTAATTATAATATTAGGTGGCGACTCTAATCATTTGTCCTACATTTTACCTCACGCGTCCGACGTCGCCCCGCGACATCTAGTTGCATGATGGAGGGATAGAAAGGTCTATTCCTTAGTTGCAAAGTCTCCGGTGCCAACTTAAGGGACAAATGTCTTTGATGTGACTTATTATCTAAGGATGCCAACGTCGTTCGGATTGGTATCGATAGGATAAAGGCGAGTTTTGAAAGACTATCCTCATTAAATGTTTTTTTTTAATCGTAATAATGGTGAAGGCATCCTCTTCATTTGAGATGGGCGAGATAGGCGTCCAAAGGTAGCTTTTGGTTGGTTTGTTGCCTTTGATCGAGGATCTTATTACCGGACATGGTCCGTTGGGATGTTCATGTAACACGTGTCATCTAGATTCATCACACGAAATTTCATAAACCAACTTCCCAAATGTTACGGGATCGGGTTCTTTTATGTCTCATGTCCCACCTTAGTTATTCACGATTCGCTTCGATTCAACAAAAGGAACAAGAAATTTTTACGATTATTAAATGACTCCCATCGCATCTTCATTTCGTTTCACATCGGATATAAAACAGGAAATTCCACAAACTATGTTTGTGACGTATTGATCAAGGTTTGAGAGGAAGTGAAGAGCCTTTTTCTTCTCTTCCGTAAGAGTTACAAGAATTGGTTCTTCTTGCTTAACCGTAAGTTGAAAGGTATTGATACTATTACAATCATCCGCAATTAGTTAAGTTCAATCCTTGAGAAACAAAACCTTACACATGGAAAAAAATGAAATTATGAAAGGAAACTAAGATATGTTTAATGAAGGCTCGCTATATGCTCTAGAATATTGAAGATTAGAGACAATTTTATACGAAGAAATGAGCTAGAATAACATTTTTACCAAATGTGGGTTCTGCAGTACTCTCGTCGAGAAGATAGTAAGAGTTCTTTGCCAAACAAATTAAATACCCAACACCCTAATATTTTTATTGTTTTGCACTTTCTCACTTCTACATTTTATCCGTGGTACGTATAATCGGGAATATAAGTTTCTAAACACCAAGATCGTGCTCTTGTGCCTATCCGTATTCGATTGCATACGTAACAAAAATGAGTCCTCCTCTTCTTTTTTCCTTTTTTGTAGTATTCTCGGGATCATATTGTTTTCTTCTTTTAGCACACGGAACAACGCCTTGAGGGTACGTAACGAAAGTGAGTCTTCCTACTTTCCGAACTAATGGTTATATTTTCCCACAGCAATAGAGGGGTAAGTTGGCGCGGTTAATTACCTCCTGCTATCCGTATCATAGTTTTAAATCGCGAAGGTTAAAAAAACGATCACGGTTGTTATCGTAGATCGTGGCTTACTATAATATTAAATTAATGATAATAGCATGTTCCAAAACCATTACATAACGATCATTATTTAAAACTATAGTCTTTATTAGAGGGGATTTTTCCTTTAGGTGGCATTAATATGCTAATTCACCATCAATGAATTGGTAAGAGCTTTCATTTGCGAATTAGTAAATTTACGGGATAATAATGTTTAAGCGATATTATTACGCTTTACGAAAAAGTGTTGATAGAAAAGTTATATTGTTCTTGCTTCGAAAATTTGTTGTTGAATCAAGATTTCTTCCTTTGCATGGTAAGGTCCAAAAATTATGACAAAGTCATTGGATGTATAAAATTTGGTTATTTTTTTTGTTTTGCACTTTCTCACTTATATATTTCGTACGTGGTACGTATAATCGGAGAATATAAGTGTCTAAACACCAAGACTCGTACTCTTGTACCTATTCGTATTCGATTGCATACGTAACGAAAGTGAGTCCTCTTCTTTTTTTCCTTCGTAGTATTCTCGGGATCATATTGTTGTCTTCTTTTAGCACATGGAACAACGCCTTGAGGGGTACGTAACGAAAGTGAGTCTTCCTACTTTACGAACTAGTGGTTGTATTTTCCCACGGCAATAGAGGGGTACGTTGGCGTAGTTAATTACCTCCTATTGTACGTATCATAGTTTTAAATCGCGAGAAGATTGAAAAAACGATCGCGATTGTTATCGCGGATCGTGGCTTACTATAATACTAAATTAACGATAATAGCATGCTCTAAAACCATTACATAACGGCCGTTATTTAAAACTATGGTACGTATTAGAAGGGATTTTTCCTTTAGGTGGCATTAATATGCTAATTCACCATTAATGACTTGGTAAGAGCTTTCATATGCGAATTAGTAAATTTACGGGATAATAATGTTTAACCGATATTATTCCGCTTTACGAAAAAGTGTTGATAGATAAGTTGTACTTGTTCTTGCTTCTAAAAATTTGTTGTTGAATCGGGATTTCTTCCTTTGCATGGTGAGGTCCAAATATTATGACAAAGTCATTGGATATATAAAATTTGGTTATTTTTATTGTTTTGCACTTTCTCACTTATATATTTTGTACGTGGTACGTATAATCGGAGAATATAAGTGTCTAAACACCAAGATTGTACTCTTGTACCTATTCGTATTCGATTGCATACGTAACGAAATTGAGTCCTCCTCTTCTTTTTTTCCTTCGTAGTATTCTCGGAATCATACTATAGTCTTCTTTTAGCACATGGAACAACGCCTTAAGGGGTATGTAACGAAAGTGAGTCTTCCTACTTTCCGAACTAGTGGTTGTATTTTCCCACAGCAATAGAGGGGTACGTTGGCACGGTTAATTACTTCCTGTCTGTCCGTATCATAGTTTTAAATCGCGGAAGATTGAAAAAACGGTCGCGGTTGTTATGGCGAGATCGCGACTTACTATAATACTAAATTTACGGTAACAACATGCTATAAAACCATTATATAATGGCCGTTATTTAAAACTATGATCTTTATTAGAGGGGATTTTTCCTTTAGGTGGCATTAATATGCTAATTCACCATCAATGACTTGGTAAGAGCTTTCATATGCGAATTAGTAAATTTTACGGGATAATAATGTTTAAGCGATATTATTCCGCTTTCGAAAAAGTGTTGATAGAAAAGTTGTACTGTTCCTGCTTCTGAAAATTTGTTGTTGAATCAAGATTTCTTCCTTTGCATGGTGAGGTCCAAAAATTATGACAAAGTCATTGGATATATAAAATTTGGTTAAAAGGAAAAATTTTCAGGAAAGTGGAAGTGCATAATGCAGACAAGGCTTAGCATTAGAATGGACTGCAGAATTTTGCAAGAGAGTACTTAGTTAGGATTGAACTTTTCTCCATTTTCTAGTCTCCATTCAAACAAGAACACGAGACGTCGGTATGGGAAGATCTACGATTTTCTCATGAAACCTGTGCTGCAATTCTGCAGATAGAAATGCTAAACCATTTGAAGTCTAGGTACAACTTTGTCCAATGTTTATTTGGAAGACATCGATTAGAGTAGTTAAAAAAATGGAAAAATTCACTACTCATATTTTTCTTCTTATTTCAGTAGATTCGACAGAAAGCATAATACATATATAATCCATTCAAACTAATAAAAGAGCTGCGAAATAAAATCAAATTCAAAGCTAAAAGCTGTCTTATCGAAGTTTTAAACTTAAGACGACCAGCATGTGGCCTCCGGTACATATGCAAGTGAAAAATAACAGAGGTAGCAGGGAAAATGAACTTGTAGTTCATCTGCCATTTTATCCAGAGCCTATTCTCACCATTTGGATTGAATTACTGCGGTAGGTTTATTTCTTCCTCTGCCTAGATATCATATCTATGTAAAGAGCATCTCTTGGCAAGAAAAAAGAACACTTAAATCAACTTCAGTAAATAATAGTAGTCAAGAAGACCTCTCTACGATACAAACTCTATGAATCTTATGATTGCTCAAATCTGCATTAGTTCTTCAAATATTTTCATGGCAGAAGCTGGCAGGCCCAAAAGCACATTTATGCTTTTCCTCTCTTTCCCATGAGAAAGGAAAAGAATTACTTCCTTCTCTGGAAGAGCTACAGGCCCTGATAAAATAGGCACTCCCCAACCGAAGTCTGTTGTGTGGAAAGATAGCCTAGACCAAGTTGTGATTAGAAGAGTTGCAGCCAGAGAAGGCCTGGCTCTTGTAACTTCAAAATAATCTATCGCTGATCTCATATAACTGTCATCAACCATTTTAATTGCCTCTTGAACTAGCCCTACTGCGAACGACAACTGGTTATCCATTAGCTCTCCTGCTTTGCACAGAGAATTTGTCAACACAATTGCATTTCCGAAGTATCCTTCAGGTATTGGTGGCTTAAATCTAGACCGTCCATCCGCAGCAAAAAGCAGTTTTATCTGTTGATCAGGCACCATCCTTAATGCCTGGCATCGAGCTCTCCACACAAAGGCTGAGAGAGCTTCAAATGTTGTGCACTTGGCTAGAACTCCGTCTTCTGTAGCTATTTTCTTGAGTTGGGCAAGTTTCTCAGGGGAAAAACAGAAAGATCTATAGAGCATTTCCTCTTCATAAAGCTTGCCTGTATTTGACTCATCTTCAATCTCAGCAAATTCATGGTGTGGAAACTCTACCATAGGTGGGTTTCGAGCTTTGAGTATGCTTCTATCTAGAAATGGAGGTACATCCAGAGGCAAACCCCTAGCAGTTGCTCCCCATGAATTCACAAACTCCATAGCACCAATTCCATCGAACATACAATGGTTCGTGCATAACCCAAGAACAAATCCTCCGCATTTGAATTTGGTCACCTAAAAGAGAATAAAAAATTCTTAATACGAAAAAGAAATTTTTCTTTTTGTTTTCTTTTGAAAAAGATTTAACTTCCCTACAGCGGTACAACTATACAAAGCTTTCAAGATTATAAACTAGGAAACATAAATAGCCAAAGAATCTTCAAACCTGTGCCACCAGAGGAGGTATCTGAAGTATGTTTTGTGCACCAGGAATTTCATAAACCAACTTCCCAAGAGTCACAGGATCAGGCTTTGTTGTGTCTCCTAGCTCGGTTATTTCACAATTCGCTTCAGCCTCAACAAAAAGAGCACCTTCGCCAGTGCAATCCACTATCAGCTTTCCTTCTGAGCTAATCGTCAGCCGCCCACCAAGTGGATAGTAGTGAACAAGTACTTTTGACAAGGCACTCTTAATGACTTCCACAGCATCCTTATTTCCTTTCAAATCAGACTTATAGCAGTAAATCGTACGAACTATGACTGCGATATTTTGATCAAGGTTCGAGAGAAAGTACAGACCCTTCGGTGTCTCCTCTGCAGGAGGAACGAGGGTCGGTTCTTCTTGCTTAACGATAAGTTGAAGAGTATCGTTACTACCATTTGCCATTCGGTAAGACTACTTAAAAACCAAAACCTGACTCACAAAAACAAAGAAAGATGTTTCAACAAACCAAACGATGATCTGTTCAACAAATGCACATAGTTCATGAAGAGTCGGAAGAAAATATATACCTGTAATACTAGAGTATGAAACTGGAAACTGGGTGGCTATGAGTATAATGATGCAGAAGATATATAGGATGGAATGGACCTGATGAACATTTAATATTGTTTGTTTTGGTTAATAAAACACTACAGCATGATAAGGACAGGTGATGGTGATTCTTTGTTTTTGCAAAAATTTCACGTAAAGTTTTATTGGAGGAACCCTACCAAAAGAAATTGAAAACAGTATCTTTTTTTTATCTTCTTCTGGAGATTGTCCATGTTGCACATTATGGAGAGGTCATACATGGAGTTGTGGTAGGCTACTGGCTAAAGAACCAAAACATTACCAGCTAGCAAAACTGGCGTGAGAAAGAAGAGTTATTCTGGGGTTGGTTGGTAGGGTTGGCGTCCAAAATTTGCTTACTTGGATTTACCTTATTAGATTTCTTGTATACAAAATTGTTCCATGGTCTATAGCTTTTACAGATAAAATTATGCGCTGAATGCATGCAACTTACTTTTGATTTAATAATTATGGTATAGATAAACAAGTTATGGTCCCATCTGCTGGCTGGTTATTCAAGACATGAATTTTAGGTTCCATAATATACTATACAGTTGTCAATGCAAATTGATTAATTTAATTTGTGGCCTCGACTGTTGACATTTCTACAAGTATATTCCTCACGCCAGGGCGTCCGCGCAACCGCAGACAATAAATGCGTGACTGAAGTAGAGAAAAAAGAGTGCCCTTCTGATCTTCAACATAAGAAGAAATTTTGCAGAGTGGACATATTATATTATTACCAGTAAAACTAGTATTTGCCAGCCTGGTATCAGCCTGAGCAAGAAAGCTTTAAAAAACCATTGATTCATAGCTTGTTGGTAGAAACATTTCAATCCAACTTTTTCAAGTGAGGGATCAAAATCTATTTGCAAATCCTGTCTCATGTGAAACTTAGATCCCACGAGACTAGCTTTTATGTAAACAAAGCTAGCACAGAACAAACGATCATCACCCCTTTCATGGGTTTGAGGTTTGAACACCACCCTTGTGCCAGTTCCAAGTAGCGAAAGACTTGGGACTCCAAAGATAAAGATTGATACCAATTCAGAGCCTAGCATTAACCATATGAGTAACTCCATTGACAATGATAATGACCTAGCTTATTTGGTTTTATGCATCTAAACTCGTTGCTAATTTATATTTTTATCATCAGATATACTGGTCTAGGGTTCCTCCCAAAGCTCACAGCCAACTTAGATTCATTCTCAAAGGCTCAAGCAAGCTTCATTTCACTTCAGATCAAAAGGTTCATCTACCAATTAACCCTAGCTAATCAACCAATGCTAGTATGCAGAACAAGCAATTCATCCAACAAACTATTGATTTTACCAAAACAGAACCTTAAGAACGCCCAAATGAATGTGTGACCACAATAGTTAGCATTGACAACACTGTTTGGTAATGCCTTCTGTGCTTTCCGTGGGAAAGCACTTGATTTTCAGCTACTTGGAGCTTTGGGCATTGTAATACCAAATAACATTATAAAAAAAACATCAATTCAGCACCTTTTCATCCCAACAGCGCTTTGGGAAAGCACCTTCCACTGCAATACCAACACTGTAAATGTGTAATAATTGCTGGCAAACTGAGCAACAATTGGTGGTACCTTACCCTCAAAGTAACATTCCTTCTCACGAACATCTCTATGTTTCAAATCACAAAGGCCATTAAATTTGCATTGCAAAGAAATCTATATAAAATTTAAGCTAAACAGAAATTTTCAACTGTTATAATAAATTTGCAAAGCATTCAACCTACAAGGTTCATAAATTATAAGCACCCTTAAGGACAACATGAGAGTTGCAGTTCAAATCTCTAGTCATTTGTAAGGGGTAAAGTCAACAAATACACCTAAAGCCAAATCTAGATGGAAAGGTATTAAGTTGGGGATGGGGGTACGATGGAGAAATAAAACTACAAGAATTTAAGGTCAGCTCAGCACTACTTGTAAGAGCAAAAAGTACTAAAGCATATGATACAAAACAAACCCAGTAGGGTACTTTCATCTGGAAACAGTAACAAGATCCAAATTGCAACAGTGGTGCATCATCCATATCTGCTGTTGAAACACCTCCCAGTGGGGATAATATCTGGAGAATACACCACACATACCTCATGTTCCACCAGAGTCAAGTAAAGCATCTGTATTAAAATGAACTAATCATCATCCTCATCTCCATCTTTATCTGCATCATCACCAGCCTCAGTATTATCCTCAGCTTCATCCCCTTCACCTTCTTCTTCGTCATCAGACATGCTATTAATTACATCAGTAATAATATCCTTCACTTCTGCTTTTCTATGCATCAGATCTATGCCAAAGTGGGTACCTAATATGACCAGAATTATACGTATGATAAGCAACGTTGAAATGGAAATATGCCAACATCGAAGTAATAAAAGAAAAGATGAGCCATACATACCAAGCTGTCTGAGGATGTCAGATAGTGTTGCCTGCATATCAACAGAAACAGATTTTTAAGGATGGTGTAACTAGCAAGAAAAATTATCCTAACTACGCAAATTGCAAAGCTAAATCATATGCAAGACTTACAGTATTGAAATCCACCTCCTTCAGAATATTTACTACAACTGCATGCATCTCTTGTCTGGTGGGTTCTGCCTTAGCTTTTTTGTTAAACTTGACTTTACCTAATTTTCCAACATAAAAATCATTAGGCATGTGAACAAATTCTGCAATAACAGAATTTAAAACAAAAAGAGATCCTCTAAGCACAAATTCAATTCGGCAATAAAATTAAAAGCAGAACGTAATATTTTAATCAGCAACTTGCCCAAGGACCAGTATCCATTGTGGCCTTGTTTTGTTCAACATATATCTGCCAAGCACAACAAAAATTAAATCCAAGGAAGATTTTACAGATGACATCTATTATATGGGCATCAAAATTTTTCTTGGTGACAGAGACACAAGCGCTCCATGAATGTCAATTTAGTTGCTTTCTATCCCCAAATAAAAAAAAAAGAGATGACTCCAAAAAAGTGCTCTGTCCATTTTGAAGAGTGCAAAAGCAACTGGAAGAAGAGGGTTGGTGTTTAACAAACAGCAATGATAACTACAAAACTAATTAATTATTGATAGATATATGTGAATCCTACCTAACAAAATTCCCCTTAAAACCAACATATGGACACTTACATAATATTTTACCCCCACTTTTTCACCTCATAACAGACTCACCATAAAACTAAAACACATAACCACCAAAAAGCACATAGGATAAAAGAGGGCTGTGCAGCTACAATGGAAAAGAATGATAGACTCACCCTAAAACTAAAACATGTAACCATCAAAATGCAGATAACATAAAAGAGTGTTGCTCAGCCAAAATGCAAAAGAATAAATTACTTGCTTGAAAGCTCCAAATGATAACAATTTTAAACTGAAAGCTTCAAACATCAGGAATAGAAGGAAAATACCACACCTTGATCTTTTGCAGTAGTCTTTGATGGGGACTTCGTTGACTGCTTCTTGCCAGCAACCTTGTCTTTGGAGGAAGCACTTCGGTCCTTAAGGTTCTCCTTTTCAACCTTTTGTTTCTTAGATGCAGATCCCTTCGATTTAGAAACTGAAGCGGAATTTCCATCGCTATCTTTAGCACTTTTTCTTGATGATAAGCCAGAAGCCTTTTTGGTAGATTTTGCTGGACTTTTAACAGGTTTTGCAGGTGTGCTCTTCTTGCCAGGGGTAGCTTTCTCTGCACTTTTAACCACCGAACTCTGCTTTACAGATTTTTTTGATTTCTTAGGTGGTGTCTGCTCCTTTGGCTCATCTTCTTCTTCTTCTGATTTAATCTCCTCATGATCACTCTCTTCTTTTGTTGCTGCCTCGTTTTCATCATCCGCTTCTGAATCATCCTTAGCATCTGGTGATTCAACTTTATCTTCATCATCATCATCTTCCTCATCTTTGGATGAATGCTTTCGTTTTTGTCCACTTTGAGGTGTTTGTTTTCGTTTCTGTAGAACAATGAAGTAAAGAATTCATAACCAGCTCAGCATAAAAGCTGCAAAACCAAAACAAGCAGTGACAAAGGAGATACATCATATTACATTGAAGATAAAAATTTAATAACAAGTGATGGGTAAGAGCACTATCTTCTATTATTTACACCAACTGCAAAGAACTGTGTCATTAGACAGCCTTCTGCAGAACATTTTCAGGCTAAAAAATTGATCCTGAAGGCTTAGGCGGGGTCCAATTAGCTGGTCAAATCATTTGACAAATAGCAAACATGCATGGAAGATTAAAGTCAAGGTAATACATCAAATACAAGATTGATGGTTCAAGTTGTCAATTACAAGGTCATCTTCTGCATGCATGTCTGTTTGGAATTTATGGACAATGAAACTCAAGGCTGAGCAATGAAGCATATGGAAAACAAATGAAACATGTGTATGCATGCAAGCACCACACAAACATGTGCCAGTGCAAGAATAAGCAAGCGTGTGTGTGTGTGTGCACACGTGCACGCATGTGTGTTATTTCTTTATTTGGAAATAACAAACATATAAATTGCCTTATTTCTTTATTTGGAAATCAAGAAGGTCACATTATGCAGCTTCACACATCAATCATAATCAAAATGGTTGAAAAGAGTTACAGACATTTTATGTCCTTGGAATGGCAGAACATAACTTGCACACTCATAAAAGCAACGTAAGTTAAAAAGTTAATAACTCCACGCCTAATAGAAAATACAGCGACTGTTGTAATTTCTGCTTGTAACATTCATAATTTCACATCTAAAAATACAAGCATTGCATTAATTATTCTGATTAAGCAAACTAAGCAGTTGTATAAAGTGCATTACAACAGAGAGAATATGATATCTACATACCATCAGAAGCAACATAAAAGTGTCTAGAATAAAAAACATAGCACTATCTACTGGAGAGCACCGAGAAAACGCATCCATCCAAACAGCATATTAAAGAAAACCTCCATAAAATGTCCATACAGAAATAATACTGCAAACCACAAACCTTGGCTGATGTAGTTGATGTTTCTCCAGGACTCACATTTTTGCCAGTTGAGACCTTGCGCTTCTTACCTTTCTGAAACCAAAATAAGGAGCAAATATCAGCAACTCTCTAGTTGACAATGAAAGGCTACCTAACAATATGCAATAGGTATATATTTAAAGCATAGAGAACCTGCTCCTTGTCTGCAAGCAGAACATCAGTAGTTGCATGTGGGTATTCCAAGAATTCCAATATTTTTACTGTGAGTTCCTCCTGAAAACAAGGCCCAACCAATTGACTATTCCAGATGGAATTTAGATGAACATAAATAAAATGAAAAAATAGCATTTGGCATAGTTGATACCAACCTTTTTCACAACAGACCTATTTATAGGGATATTGAGCACATCACAAAAATCCATCAACTTTTCTTTGACACACTTATCAAGCTTTTCCCTTACTTTAGCTTTCTGTTTTTCCTGATGGGATGTGAGGAAACCAATCAAAACAGTTTCAAGGCACACAATTGTTGAACATAAGTGCACCCGCGATGAATGAATCATGCATACAATCTTATTTTCACCTGTGTGCAAGCTCGTGCAATAATACATGCATGGATACAAGAATGTGTGCATGAACATGTAGCAACAAATAAAAGGCAAGAACTTCACTACCTCATTCTCAACCCACACATAGCCTGAGAACAGGCCTATGTTCTTCTTTAGATTGTGTGCCTAAAAGAATCACATTATCATAATTTAGAATGGTCATAAATATAAATAAATAAATAAATAAAGATAAAGACAGCAAGAATAAGCAAAAGAATTAAAACAGCAAACTCAAAAGACTATTAGACAAGCACCTTTCCTTTCTTTCCAAACAGAATCATGTGAAGCATCTGCAGATTGTCATCAGTTTTTCTCTTGGACAACTTGAAAGCCACTGAAAATTTCACAATATAAGACAAAAAACAGGGCAGTCTGCTGTAACAACAAAGTTGAACAGAGGTAAGATGAAGCATGTGCAAGTCAAGTTAGGAAAATTTGTTCCCTCTTGATGTACAGAGGGAATCTCCTTTGAAGAATGTTATGGAAATTCAGTATTCCCAAATACTAAAATCCAGATGCAAAGAATCTATCTCCCTTCCTATAAAATACCTGTGCATCCTTTGACACTGATAACGAAAATGACAGTATGATGAAAAAAAAGGCCAAAAACATACAAAGAGAATGCGAGGAAACAATAATGGGTGCTAATCAAAATATTAGCTCAAGCCTCAAAAATGTGGACAATGTTCAAGAGAGTTCAAACAAGCTATCAAGCTTCTCCTATTTGAAGAACCTTTAAAACTACCTGTATGTACATTCCTAACAGACTTTTAACACCAGTTAAAATGGATGGCATCCTCTATTTTCTGGACAACTTTCCTAGGACAGTTATAACCCAGGACCAGTAGGCAAGTACCCTGAACAGTAAAATCCATAGAGGGTAAAACCACACCTATTTATGGAAGTTCAACCCACCAAAATACATACGTTTGAATTCTGTATCAACAAGACCAAAGCTTTTGTTTTTGGTACAAAGTTCTGTACAAAAAATGTGCTAATGTCACTGATGACCAGTGCCATAACTTTGTTCAACTGTAAATTTAATGGAATAGAAAAAACAAAAGGAAGGATCCATAAAGAGAATGACAACTAGTTCAGAAGTCAGACTTAATTGGGATGAGTTTTCCTCCAAATTTCTCTGATTTTTTATTTGGATTCCAATCTGAGAGCACTACCAAAGCATTTCAAAGAAGGTTATCCTGACATAGGTTTGCTTTTGGCTTAGATCAACCTTAAGTTAAATGAAGTCTCCATTGACCCCTTTTAATTAAATAATTAAATATAAAACTTCATACACATTAAATTTCATAAAGATAGGACAAAAAAAAAGATTTTTTTTCAAGACTTTTCTTTGATGAACGGATTTACTTTCATTTAAAACAATTTGCAAGCCTGTTATGCAATACAATGTAACAACTTTCAAAACTCACGACAATGGGCTCCACAGTTAGTACTTGAGAAGCAAGTAAACAATTGCTAATTTTTCTCAGCAATGAAGCTCGGTTATTTACTAGAAACCCACCCTGTCAAAACATATAGATGATCCTTTTACCAGATTAATACTACCAATGTTAATATTAAACCTATTTGATTAGCTGACTAAACTATGTTAAACTAAAAAAATACTCTCATTTCACACAAACTTACAACATATAAGAAATGCATCAAAACTCATCATCATCACTTGATTGCAATTACCCTGGTCGTTATCTACTCCATTCTTTCTTGATAATTTCAGAGCATTTAAAAATCATACTTACTAAATAGCTAACAAAACAGTATACGCTATATAAACACAAGCACCAACAACAAACAGGATACACAAACAGATTCATAAACATACAATCATCAAACAATGAACACATCAAAAGAACCAACTATAACAAACATACCATTTGGAATATCCTTCAATGGCGTTCCTCGTCCCTGCAATCAAAACAAAGAAATTATTTCAAAACCCATATATCCAAAAATCAATTTTTTTTAGAAAAGAAACACAAATTGGAGTAAAAAGATAACAAAAAAATTTTAAGATTTGAGTCGTTTTACCTTTTCGATAGACAAAGGCTTGGTGGCTGATCGTCCAGGCTCAGGCGCAGAGTACCTTTCCACCATCTTCCTCTCTCTAGTCGGCCTCTCAGTACCAGGAGTCACCGGCTCTTTCTTCTTCTTCTCAGTCGAATCTTTACTCGATTTCCTGCTGCCTCGCTTAACTTTCTTGCTCTCTACCTCTTCCTCGTCTTCTTCATCATCCTCTTCTTTCACGTCCTCTTCTTCTTCTTCTTTCTCCTCGTTTCCTAAAGACTCCTTTTCTGTTCCCTCGTTCTGAGTCTCCTCTTCTTCCTTCACTTCTTCGTTTCCAGCCTCCTCTTTCGGTTCACGCTCAGTATTCTCCTTCAGTACTTCGCTTTCAGTTTTCTCCTTTTCTGCTTCCGGTTTTGACTCCTCAACAGGAGGAGCTTCCTCCTCTGGTTTCTTCTCCTCTAGGGTTTCACTCGCCATGGAAACAAAACAGAACAGCAAAACCCTAAAAAGTTAGGGTTTTGACAGAGATCAAAAGAAAGTAAAATCTTCTGCCCACAACAGAGAGAAGAAAAAAGAAAGAGAGAGAGAGAGAGATAGAAATTAGGGATTTGGAGATTTTGAGAGAAAGAGAGAGAGAGAGAGGGCGGGCGGGCTTGATTTGATTGGGAGAAAAGGAGGAAGGCGGGGGTTCAAAAAATTTTGATGCGAAAAATGAGAGCGGGCTTTGGGGCTTTGGTTTTTTTCACTCTAAAAAAAGTGGAGGCAAAATTAGGAGATTTTGCTTTCTCTCATGTTTTTTTTTTTTTTTTAAGCACAGTAGTCGGACATTATCCACTGCCCCGAACATGCTAACAAAGACCTACGTAGCTGTCCTTTTTGGGCACACACACACACCACTTGTGAATATTTGTCTTACCATGACCTGTGGGATATAAGAGATTAAAATTCTGAGTGGATTTCCATGACTAAATTCTGTTCTGTTGATTATCTTTTGCATTCTTTCTTTCCTTTTTTTTTTTTTTTTCTGTTGGCCTGTTGTTGTTCTGTCTTTGTTGTCAAGGGGTGTATTTAGGGTAGCCGCTTGTATTTTTACTTAGTGATCAAGGGGTGATTTTATGATGATTGTTGGATAATGGTTTCCAACAACAACGAATTCGTAGCTGTCTAGGCTCTCTAGCATATGGAAATGTTATCAGCTCTGATTTGTCCTTATGTACTGACAGATTTAAAAATAAATAATTCATTGACCTTCTCGTAATAAATCGAAAGGAAAGGTAAGTCGTTACTCATTAGACACTCAATTGTTAAATGATTGGTTATCGAGTTTTTTTAAAAAAAAAAAAAAAACAATTTGTAGGGTGCGTTTTAAACAAATTGAGGACATCGTTCCCCATGGTACAATGTCACACTTTATGTATATAATAAATGTGACGTTATAGCACGAGTAAAAAGATATTCGGCCAAGAGACCTTAGAGATTTTATTGGGTTAAGCAACAGTCCAATATGTTTGCAATCATAATGTATATTAGTCCATAAAATTTTTAAAAACACGGTTCACCTTGGGCTTGGGGCATTAGTGAAAAGATAGGTCCATGATCCATGATTTTATACGATTCGATACGTCCGTTCGTGTCTCTCTCTCTCTCTCTCTTTATGTCTCCCTCTCTCTCAAAGTAAACTCATGGAATAACTATCGTATACGCTACTCGATTACTCCTACTCGTATTATAAAATTTCTCTCACAAAAGAAGAGAAGTCATGAGCTAACATGAAGCGGAAAACAGAAATGAAGTAGAAGAATATTTTTAGAAAATATTATTTTTTTTTCCAAGCTATATTGCAGATCGAATAAAATACATAAAATTATTTTTAAAAAATTATTCTATTTTTATATTTCGTGTTATAAAAAATATCCCACGCACAGTTAATACAACCCGTACTCCCTTCTTCTGCACTTGCAACCCAATCAACCGGACAAAAGAAGTTGAGAATTTTTTTCACCTTCAAATCTACGCTTCTTCGAATTATCAGCAGACCAAATAAAAATACCTCCCAAAGCCTTCTTCTCCTTTAGTTCCTTGCAAGCTTCAAAAAATCCATCATCAGGGCTCAAACCCCCTTTATCACTATCATCATCAGTGCTGAAGCTAGCCAAAATTTGACCTCCTCCATAATTGGAAGCTTGTTCATCAAAATGCTTGACAAATTGTGACACGCTTAGTTTCTGATAGGCATAAAATTGGAAATTTACATGATCTATTGCATGCCCATATTTTTTCCACAAGGCCAAGTAATGGCTTTGGACCTCACCATCTTCATAAGGTGCAATCGAAGCAAATGATATGGTCCCACTTTTCTTTAGTGACGTTATCAGCCTTCCTATGCACTCGGCAAATGTATGAGAATCTGACCTGAAGTGCTCATAGTCAATATCGATTCCATCTAGGTTGTATTGTTTGATCATAGTCGTTAGCGAAGATATGGCATTTTGGACCCAAGAATCTATAGATTTTGGTGCAAACAATGCCTTTTCTCTCCGAACACTATCTCCCCCCAAGCTAACAGCTACCTTGACATTAGAATGCCTGTCTTTTATTGATGCAATATCTTCAGGGCTCACGTGGCTGGATGCCCAAATCGCATTGAACTTTCCATTGGTCGGTGATGGATTTCCAACGGTTGTGTAGTCGACTGCAAATGAAAGAATAAAATGGAATTCGACCTTAGAATCTATAGGCACATCTGAGAGCTTGATCGAGCTGGACGTTGCCCCGATATACTCTCTAAACAGCTTGGAATTGGCAGCTACAAAAAACAACCAGAAGAACTGTCGGTAACATAAATTATACTTAACTCTAAAGATATCTGGAGGACATCCGATTTACTTAAAACACACTGCCCCAATCAATCAAAACAGTTTATTTCTCACGAACCCAGTTGGACGCATTTAAAAAGATTCTACTTCTAATTACTTCAATGGAACCAACTCACTGCTATACCATGCATAATGCACAAATCATATGGAACTTCTATGGTATAAACTTACCATTGCATGTGGTGAAAGAAAGGATTGAGATGTTTGTGATGAAGAGCACGATGAGGAATCCCATTACTGTTTTTAATTATGTGAAGGTGCATATTCAGTACTTCATTATTAATGGTTATTTATAGGAGAACTGAGACTGCATGGACCCACAGTCAAGGTAGCAGGCTGCTCTTGTTATGACCGTCAAGTGAAGAGGAAGACCTGCTTGTTTCCTCTGATTATATTTTATATTATATACTTTCTGTAATCAAACAATTCAAAATAAAATATTCGATGAAATGATGTGAGGTAGATGGTGTTTTGCGCTACAAATCGAACGTGGAGTTGCTTAGACTTGCCCATGATTTATCTTGTAAGTCATAGTCAATTCTGTGCATGGTCGAGGTATTTTACTAAGTATTGTATAATTCTGCCTTGTTTTCTTGTTCGACATACCTACTTAAATTATCACAAAGCTGATAAATCGAAGTTTTGGGTTCGTATGAGCTGTAAAATTTTGAGTCCTTCTTGGTTAACTTTTTTAGTTTTCGGCATGTTAGAAGCGGCTTCCGTACAACACGAGAATGTAGTGCTGATGCTCCAAGGATCATGGGGTAATAACTTGCCTGTGATTATGTGGAGTAGTCAACTCTACGATAATCAATACAAGTTAGTAGCAGTCCACTATTTGCTGTGATTTTGAAGATGGTCTCTGAGCATGATCTTGTTTTTCAAAATTTTGGAGCAATATTGGCTCGGAAGCTGTGGTTTTCCTCTCCGTAGATATTTTTCAGTTACATTTAATTTGGTGTTCCATGAATGATCTGCTTGCTTGTATGCGCATAGGAGAGTCCTAACTTCTATCGAAAAGGCCAACAAAGTAGATTTTGGTAACATCATGTTTGTGTTGGTCACATTGTTTCATGAAAACCAATGTTAATGCAGGAGCGGCAATACAGTCCCTTGAAAACACAAGCCAACAAGACGATCCTAATCAATTGTTTTTTCGGTAAATGAGACAAATTTTACTACTCTACGTTCTAAAACATCATTTTTTTTTTCACTTTTCACGTAATTTAAGAAAATAATTAATCTTTATAGCATATCAATTTTTTTATTCATATTTTTTTTGAATACGATTGTTATTAAAATTATTAGTTATTAACTTTAATCTTAGATTACATAGAATCAATATTAATAGAAATAGAAATCTATGATCTAAAATTAAAGTAGTAAATAAAAAAAAATCATTAAATTAATTAATTAAAAAAAAAATTAAAAGTAAATATGAAAAAATAAGATACTAATGAAAAATATTTTTACTCTCAAAATTTCAACGTATATTAAATTTTGTACGAAAATAGATAATTTTTGTGTAACAAAAAAATTTTCTTTGATATTTTTATGTTAAAGATATTTGTATGTAAAAAGAAAAAGTAAGTATAAATAATATTATTTTTATTAATAAAAACAGGAAATAAATTTATCAAACATTATTTAAAATTTTAATTTAAAACAGATATAAATACAAAATATAACAATTTTTAAATGGACTGATTGATGAAAGACAACAAGTGAGCCGGAAACCACAACAAAGTCCACTGACCCAACATTTCTAGTAGTAGCCCAAGTTGACCGGCTTTCGGTCAGTGCCAAAGTGCCAATAACATGTGGGGCCAAGCGACTCTTCTGACGAATCAAACATCACGAAGAAGCAAGGAAGGGCAGAAGCTATAGAAGAAAAACCACATTAGACGAAGCCACTGCAAGATATTAAGTCCCACCCAATGACCCAAACAACGACGATAGACTTTTACGAGCCAAAAATCTCAATCCAGATGCCAAAGAAGGTGAGTAAATTATGAATTACTTCCTCTTTTATCGAAAAATGAATTAATTATTCTCTCAGCTTTCAAAACTCAATCCTTTAATCTTTTTGTTATTTTTTAATTTATTTGAAGAAATAAAAAAAAGTAAAACTTATGAAAATATCAAAGTAAAACTTATGAAAATATCGAAGAAAAAAGAATAAATTTTATAAAATAAAAAAATATTAAATTAATTATGATCAATGATTAAAAAAATTAAATAATTAGATTTTAAAATTAAAAAAAAAACTTATTGTCATAAAATAAATAGAAATAATAAAAGAATTGAAGAAAATGATAACAAGAAAATGAAATCACTATAATGTGAATATAAGTGATAAGAACTTCAAATTTCTTTTATTCTCTCTAAGAAACTTATACACCAACTAATGAACAATCAAGCCTATTTATAGGCTTCAAAATTGAGGAGAGAATTGGAAGGGACTATGAATAATCAATTGCATCACCCTTTCAATTTCTCATATTGAATGATAAATTGAATCATATTAAGTATCATGAATAGTAGGGATATGAAAAGTGGATGAACATGATGATGGACATTCATTATTTCATAACACTCCCTCTTGAATGTCCATTGTACAAGGAACATATCTCATTAAAACCTTACTAGGAAAAAACATAGTGAGAAAAAAATCCTAGTGAAGGAAAAAGAATACAATATTCCTTACACACATTAATCCTTATTTTTTTCTTCCCCCGTTGAAGGCATTATTTAAGATTTTTAAGACGACGCATTCCAATCTTGCCAATCATCTTCTCAAAAGTTTTGGTAGGTAATGCTTTAGCGAATAAATCTGCTAGATTGTCACTTTAATGTATTCCGCCTTCAATGGAATTATGCAAGTAACATTATCCTCATATGATATTGTTAGAACTTTTTTTATTGGTAGATAAATTGCATGTCTCTCGGATACGATAGATCGTTGATCTTAGCCAAACAATTCTCAACTTGCCTCGTGAATTGATATTTCTACATAATTTGAAGATGTAGCAACTATACTTTGCTTCATATAACACCAAAATATAATCGTATCTCCATATATAAATATATAACCAGTTGTGATCGAGCTTTGTGTAGATCGGATAAATAACTTGCATCTACATAACCAATTAATATTGTCTTTGATTTATTGGAGTAATATAAGCTCATATCAATTATTCTTCGAAGATAACATAGTATATATTTAACTTTATTTCAATGTCTCTATATTGAAACAGAACTATGACTTGCTAACAAATTTATAGAAAAAACTATATCATGTCGAGTATTATTAGCAAGATACATCAATGCATCGAGTAGCACTAAAATATGGTACTTCAAGACCAAGTAGTTCTTCGTTATCTTCTCGAGGTCGAAAATGGTCTTTTGGATATCAAGTGAATGAACTAACATTGGGCTAGTCAATGAATGATCTTTATATAGAATCATTGCAGAACCTTTTTTATATATAAATTGACCGATGAATGAAAATCTCATTTTTCGAGTGCTCGAACTGCGAGTCGAGATAATATTTTATTTTTTCAAGATATTCACATCAAATTCTCTTTTTAGGTAACTTATAACACTTGGAATCTCTTCGAAAGTTCCAATAATATTTAAGTTATCAACATATAAAACAAACCCCTTTTCAAATAAAAACATATGAACAAATGGAGTTATTTTTTATAACTTTCTTTCAACAAATAATCATTGAAGTTATTATATCACATGCACATGGGTTAGTAATAAAAAGTAGATATAAAAATATAATATAAAAAGTATAATATAAATTGAATTTCTAAAAACTAAAATAATAAAAAAAATACTAAAATAATCCTAATAGAGATCTCTATAATTTAATTGAATTCTTATATCGAGAATATGTATTACATGCTTCGGCATGTTAAGTCCTTCTAGGAATTTCATACTCGATTCATCTCAAATGAACAAATAAATTATGATCACATTCATTAAATACATACATATGAATGTTTTTCATATATTTTACCAGAGCTAATGAGATAATAAAATATAATTACATCCATTATAGGAGAATATATCTCCTCATAGTCAATGTAATTTTTTTAAGAAAACTTTTATGTTAAAATTTTTGCTTTGTATCTTATAATCTCATCTTTCTTATTTCATTTTATCATAAATATATATTTGTATCCCACCAACTTAACATCTTCGGGTGTTTTAGCTATGGGTTCAAAAAACTACTCTTTTATAAGAGAGCATAATTCTGCCTAGATTGCTCTTTTCATTTAGGCCAATCATCTTTATGTTGATATTCTTCAATAATTTAGGCTCGGGATCCTTATTTTCATCCATAATATCAATTGCAAAATTATATGCAAAAAATCTTATCAATAGAGGTTTCTTTTCGGTCCTAATGTCTCCTTGCATTGATATAATTTATCAAAATCTCTTGATTTTTCTCAAATATTTGGACTTCTTCGGAAGCCTATTATCGAAATATATTGGACCATTTTGTGAATATTTCCATCTTGCCCTTTTCTTTTAAAGATTTTTACTTTAGAACCGATTGGTCTTCCACGCTTCGGGCGTGCTTTAAATTCATTAGCTATAATATTAATAGATTATGCTTCTATGACATTAATTCTAATAGTAGCATTCTCGGTAGGGACATGTATTTTAATTACTTATTTAAGATATGAGAATGCATCCGGCAATTGGTTTCAATACTCGGTAAATGAATCATCTTTTGAACTTCTAGTTCACATTATTTTCAACAAGAATCAATGTGATATAAGATAAAGTACTCTATGTAATCTTTTTTTTTAATATTTTCAACTCGCTTATTTTGCTTATTCTCTCCCCTAATGTTGAAAAAACTATTTCATCAAAATGACAGTCGATAAATCAAGCTGTAAAAATTTTGTCTTGTTCATGAATCAAGAGATTGAATTATCGAAGAGGATTCATATATTCTTAATCTCTTTTAAGTGCCCATTTTATTTCATTATGGAGAAGCACTAAAGATATGCACCGAAATGCCAAAAATTCTTAAATAAGAAATAATTGGCTCA